TGACAGCCCTTATAAGGTATGAGTCCATCCTATAGATTCTAATGACAGCCCGTATGAGGTATGAGTCCATCCGACACATTCTAATGACAGCCCATATAAGGTATGAGTCCATCCTATACATTCTAATCCCAGCCCATATCAGGTATGAGTTCATCCTATACGTTCTAATGACAGCGCATATGAGGGATGAGTCCATCCTACACATTCTAATGACAGCCCATATAAGGTATGAGTCCACCCTATACATTCTAACGACAGCCCTTATATGGTATGAGTCCAGCCTGTACATTCTAACGACAGCCCTTATAAGGTATGAGTCCACCCTATACATTCTAATCCCAGCCTATATAAGGTATGAGTCCATCCTCTACATTCTAATGACAGCCCTTATAAGGTATGAGTCCATCCTATACATTCTAATGACAGCCCTTATAAGGTATGAGTCCATCCTATACATTCTAATCCCAGCCCATATAAGGTATGAGTCCACCCTATACATTCTAATCCCAGCCCATATAAGGTATGAGTCCATCCTCTACATTCTAATGACAGCCCTCATAAGGTATGAGTCCAGCCTGTACATTCTAATGACAGCCCTTATAAGGTATGAGTCCATCCTATACATTCTAATGACAGCCCTTATATGGTATGAGTCCCATCCTATACATTCTAATTGTCCTCCTGGTACCTCCTCAGGTGTTGAGTACATTTCTCCTCTTCTCAGTCATTTCCATCATGTGTTCCTTGTTCTCTATCGCAGAGTGCGAGGCGTCTCAGATGAAGTGTAGAAATGGCCGCTGCAAACCCAAGTTCTGGGAGTGTGACGGGTTCGATGACTGTGGAGACGGCAGCGACGAGGAAAACTGTGGTGGGTGGAACCGCTGAGATGAATCCACGCATTCACCCGCATCCAAACTATGAGAACATTCCTCTGTCTGCAGGGAAATGCAAAGCAGGAGAGTTTCTCTGCAGAAACGGCCGCTGCGTCCCACAAAAGTCAAAGTGCAACGGGAAAGACGACTGCTCAGACGGGTCGGACGAGTCCAGATGTGAGAAGTGTAAGTTGAAGAAACGTCTCTGCTGTGATCGGCTCCTGGGCTCCACTTCTTCTTCTGTGGTTTCTCAATGCGTGATGACTGTTCAGTCACACATATGTGGAAGTGTGAATTTGTATGTCAGGTTGATTATCTTCCTCCGTTTTAAAATGTTGGGATATTTAGCTAAGAGACTCTCTACTGATCAACTATCATAATCAATGGGGCTCTGCTTCATGACGTCACCATGACTACGGCCACATATACAGTTCAGTCTGTGGGTCGTAACCGTCTCCATAATCGATGACATCACAATGGCATCATCACAGGACGTTAGTGTAAGACTGATGGAGAGCCCCTTGATACAGAGTCCTCATTGTAGGTAGTGATAGTAGTAGTAGTAGTACTTATACTGTGTCCTTTCCTTCAGCCCCTGATGTTGCAGCAGTGTAGGTAGTGGTGGTGGTAGTAGTAGTAGTACTTATACTGTGTCCTTTCCTTCAGCCCCTGGTGTTGCAGCAGTGCTCTGAGTTCACCTTCCGCTGCAGGAACGGACGCTGCATCAGCAAACTGAACCCTGAGTGTGACGGGGAGCTGGACTGTGAGGACGGGTCCGATGAGAAGGACTGCAGTACGTCGCCCCCCCAGACACACAGACAGACTCTGACCTGTGTGACCTGCTAGTCATTCCTGTGTCTGTACCTCTGCTTTCAGCGTGCGGGATGAGGCCGTACCAGAGCTCCCGCATCGTGGGGGGGGAGGCGTCCCGGGAGGGCGAGTGGCCGTGGCAGGTCAGCCTCCACGTGGCCGGCACGGGTCACGTGTGTGGCGGGTCGGTGCTTAGCAACCGTTGGCTGCTGACCGCCGCTCACTGCGTCCAGGACAACGGGCCGAACAAGTAGGTTCATGGAGCCAGTTTCAGGGGGGTTCTCTGCTGGTTTTTCTATGATCTGCTCTATGAAATAGAACCATCATGACTAGAAGTGGAACTCTTTAGTGCAGAACCACTGACTCACAGTGTAAGACTGGTACCTTTCTGTGAGAGGGAGACCTCTTTAGACACAACGAACAGAAGGGGCTTTAACCATCTGAGCATGTCAGTGGTAAGGAGAAGCTCATTTGGAGGACGTAAATGATGTAGCAACAGCCCGTTGAGTTAAAACGCTGTCGCCCTGGTGACACACAAACACGAGGAAATAAGAGTTCATGTAACCAAGGTTACCCTTTTAAGCCCTGAGTGACTACCTGGACCTTTGACCTGTGTGTGTGACGACCCAGGTACTCCCAGGCCGACCAATGGGAGGCCCTGCTGGGTCTGCACATGCAGAGTCAGACCAACGAGTGGACGGTGAGGAGGAAGGTGAGGCGGATCATCGCCCACCCGGACTACAACTCCTTCACCTACGACAACGACTTGGCCGTGATGGAGCTGGACGCCAGCGTCACCCTCAACCAGAACATCTGGCCCATCTGTCTGCCCTCCGCCACCTACGACTTCCCAGCAGGCCAAGAAGCATGGATCACGGGCTGGGGGGCCACGAGGGAGGGAGGTGAGTCAGCTCACAGAAAGCAACGTGCTTCATGTTTCAGAGATGGCGTCCACTAACTACAGGCCACGCCCACTCGTTTGATCGACATGGAATGCAGAGCCGAAAGTTTTTCATGATAACTTTCATAACATTGATGTTTTCAAAAGTAAAGTAACCCAATGAAGCACTTTAATAATACATTTCCTCAAAAGAGTTTTTAAAGTTGAACAAATGATACAGAACAAGTTCTGCATCAGCCTCCAATCATCAATATATCATTAGAGATTAAACGGTATTGTTCAAACAACTGTTTTATTTACAGTAGAAATGAATTTGAGGAGAATCATCTGATGGTGTCGTCCGCAGGCCTGGCTGCCAGCGTCCTGCAGAAGGCGGAGGTTAGAATCATCAACAGCACAGTGTGCAAGAGTCTGATGGACGACCAGGTCACTGACAGGATGCTGTGCGCCGGCGTCCTCAAAGGGGGCGTGGACGCCTGTCAGGTAACGCTGGTCACACAACAACACTACATCAGGATGCACGTACCCCGCGGACCTCACGCCGACACAACATAAGGCAGGGGAGGCTTTAGGGCGGGGCTACGCGCTGATTGACAGGTCTCTAATAAAGCAGGGGAGGCTTTAGGGCGGGGCTATGCGCTGATTGACAGGTCTCTAATAAAGCAGGGGAGGCTTTAGGGCGAGGCTACACGCTGATTGACAGGTCTCTAATAAAGCAGGGGAGGCTTTAGGGCGGGGCTACACGCTGATGGACAGGTCTCTAATAAAGCAGGGGAGGCTTTAGGGCGGGGCTATGCGCTGATTGACAGGTCTCTAAAAAAGCAGGGGAGGCTTTAGGGCGGGGCTACACGCTGATTGACAGGTCTCTAATAAAGCAGGGGAGGCTTTAGGGGCGGGGCTATACGCTGATTGACAGGTCTCTGTTTGCCAAAAGTCAACGTCGCCAACAGCAAAAACACAGATGGATCTAGCCAGAAACCAAGATGGCGGCGACCATGAAGCAGAACCCAGAACAGAAGTCCAGAAGTCTGTGTGTGACTACGTCCACTTCTTCTGCGTTGAGAGAACATTCAGATACTGTGATACCTGGAGTACTTTGAGTAGCTCACGCCACCTCCACCTTAACGTGAGAGGGCAGCCGTTAGAACTAGAAATTGGACGTCTCGTTGGGACACTTCCTGTCTCGTTGGGACACTTCCTGTCTCGGAGCCCAACCTGACCCTCTCGTCTCCGACTCACACAGGGCGACTCTGGCGGCCCGTTGTCCGTCACGGCCCCTGGGGGGCGGGTATACCTGGCTGGCGTGGTAAGCTGGGGCGACGGCTGCGGCCGCAGGAACAGACCCGGCGTGTACACCCGCATCACCGAGTACCGCGGCTGGATCACGGAGCAGACGGGCGTCTAAAGTGTGGGTCGCCCAGGCGAGGAAACAAGGAAACAAGGAAACCACAGTAATGCTGTATGATAAGAAGTGGCCTAATGAAAAGTAACACAATCAACCCCAATGAGTTCTTAACATTTTAAACATTTACAGCTTGTATTTTAACACAACGGCTAATTGGTCAATTAGTACCATTTATTTTATAACCTTTGATGAAACTACTGGTTTAAATCGGCCAAAGGAATCGATCCTTAAATGACTTCATATGGTTCAGTTAATACTCACAAAGCGTGCGTGAACATTCTGTCCAGCAGCAGAAGACAAAGATGAATTACTTTATAGGAGTAAATAGTTCATAAGTAAAACACTTAATGACCATTCTGTAAATATTGCTATATACATATATATATAGAGAGAGAGAGAAAATATATATTTTGTGGTCCCAAAATGTAATTGTCATTGAGGCGGATGGGTTTCCCAACTGATTCTACAGCTTTCTTCTGTGTTTGAAGTTTGAGAATCTGTTTTGTTCTCATTTCTCAGTCACGTATTAATGTTTAAACTCTTTTCTGCTGAATTGAATTAGTTGTCTTTGCTTCTACACAGTTACATTGTTGGTTTGGGTTGCAACATAATTAAAGATATGAGAACACGATTGAAAGGAAACCGCTGAGCTGAAGAATAAAAGCTTCATTTTGAGGGATTAAACATTTAGATAATCACAAATGTTTACCGACTCATTTACACAGTAGAAAAATATACAATGTGTTTTTTCATGGTTCCCTTCTGGATTATTGTTATAATTCACTGTTTGCAATAAAATGTTTGTTGTCCATGCGAGTTGAGTCAATCCGAAGAGGAACCTGTTTTTATTTTGGATTCATGTCTTGTTGGGTGTTGTTGACGTTCTGTGTCGTCTTTCCCTCAATGGAGGACGTCATGAAGTCACAGGAAGTGAATGAATGAGCATTAATATTAGAGAATCCCACTGCTCATGTCTCTGATTAACTTGATAGTACAAATACGGTGACCTCGATGCAGGTCCATCACGTCCACTGACCTTCTCGTCTCGATGGAGTAGTGAGGAGCTTTTGGTAAAGCGATGGATGTGAAGCACTCGAGTGTCTCGCCTTCAGTTCATGTCTGAACACCTCAGAGGAACGCGGCTTCTTTCCTTCACAACAAGGTGTGGTGCTGCTTCCTGTTGACACCATGAGAGGTCTGGAGCACAGATGAAGAAACCCTTTCTGGACTCTCGGGACACTCGGCACCTTTCTGATGGTCGTTGTGGTCTTTCTTTACAGCGCTCGTCGTTTTACAGCGACAACACCATCCTGTAGATACTCGCTCTACAGCATCAGGAGAACACGTCCTCTTCTCACTCAGAAGGAGGTACTGATTCAGGCTCTTGTCGTCTCCCTCCTGGACTACTGTAACTGTCTCCTGCAGGTCTCCTGCTACCACCATTCCACCTCTGCAGCTCATCCAGAATGCAGCAGCTCCACTGGTCTTTAACCTTCCTAAGTTCTCCCTCACTCCTCCACTCCTCCGCTCTCTTCACTGGTACCGGTGGCTCATCCAGTTCTAACCACTGGTGCTCACGTACCAGGCTGTGTATGGATGGGGTCCAGCTTCCATCCAGGACCTGGTCCAACCCGACATCCCGACCCGCACTCTCCGCTCTGCATGTGATAAACTGCTTGTTCCTCCTCACTGAGAGCAGAACACTCGACTAGATCTCCACTCTTTGCTGTCCTGCTCCTAAATGGTGGAAGGAGGTCTCTGAAGACATCAGGACCACAGAGAGCCTTCACATCTTCAGACTAAAGACACACCTCTTCAGACTCTACCTCCACTAACACACTACCTGCAGCACTTACATTGGACTTATAATGGTTCTTATCTACAGCAAGTTGTACATCGGCTTATTTGATGAAATCACACTTTCTTGTTTCTTGTTCTTCTGAGTTTGTGTCCTTATGGTTGAATGCACTAAGCTAAATGAATGTAATATAATCTAATGTACCCCACTATCAAGTCCTGTACTATCCCATAGTGTCCCTACGTTACCATGACAACTCTCCCCGTGTGATTAGCAGATGAAGCTAAGCACCATGTTAGCAGTGAGTCCTTGGAGGACCATCTTCCATCTCAGAATGTGATTACGAGGGAAACCAGTCAGAGAGCGACACATCTGAGCTTTCCAGTCGTTTCGCCTTTTATTGATCACCGGGGAAATTTACAAATCGGCTCATCACACAGAGTCCAAACAGGAAGTAGTAAGAGACAGGAGGAATGAAGACAAGGAGCTGAAGATAAAACCAAGCGATAAAAAGTATTGTGTACTTTGTTGACTAAGACAAAGCTAAAAATGAATTATAACAAATACATTCAGCTTTAAACCATTAAAAGAAGCAAAAACACTAAATGTAAAATAAACGAACATGACGCGATGAGATCGTCCTTCCTCTTTGTCCGTAGCATTTAAGTTCCACGACTAAATCACAATAGTAGAAGACGTCTCTATGGCGACGGCTAATGGTGCTAGCGAGTTAGCCTCCCCGATGGAGTCCCAGTAGGACCGATCGTCCCACAGCCGGGGGGGCAATGGTTTATACAGCCCCACTGTGAAACACACACAAATACACACAAACACCGTGTTAGAGCCGGTGGCGTGTGGTCTACAGGGGACCATAACCTTGTGTGTGTGTGTGTGTGTGTGTGTGTGTGTGTGTGTGTGTGTGTGTGTGTGTGTGTGTGTGTGTGTGTGTGGTAATGACTGAGTGGGTGGGTGCAGTAAAAAGGAAGTGGCGGAGAAGAAGACAGAAGTGAAGACAAGACGACAGAAAGCAACAGATGAGAGTAAAGGACGAAGCAACGAGAGACATGTACTAACGAGGAGGACAGACGGAGACACGAGGACGTGAGGAAGACGGGGAAACGAAGAATCGGTCACCTGACAGAGAACTTTGTATCAAGAGAAAGCTTTTTGTGAGGTGAACATTTATATTTATGTTATTACTGA